TGACCCACAAACATTTGAAGGTTGCTACGTACCTTCTGTGGAAGAAAATGAGGCTGGGGAAGCCGAAATTGATTGGTCGATCAGTTTTTTCATGAGAATGCTGAAGAATTGTGGTCAAATTATGAGGAAACCCTCCAGTACCATTACGAATAAGATCAAAATGTGGGTCATATTGGGGTTGAGGTTGAAGGTGTAGCTGAAGTTAGGGTTGAAGCTGAGGTTGAAGGTGAGGCTGAAGATGAGGTTGAAATATTGGTGGAATCTGATTACGAGATGGAGGATCAGCCAGTATCTAATGCTGAAACTAAGCATGAAAGGATAAATTTCGATTTCGAATTCCGTGTGGGAGATGACCATGACGTTAGGGATTCGAATTTCGACTATGGGGATGCAGACGAGCTACAAAGCAATGATAGTGCAGGAGAGGATGATACAACTCCAAAGAGAAGGGCTTCGACTGATGCTTTCAATCCAATGACTGATATGGGGCATCCAATGTTCAAGCAAGGTTTGGTATTTGAGTCCAAATCTGTGTTGAAGGCTGCCATCACTTCATACTCAGTTAGGAGCAACAGAGAAATTAAATACAAGAAGGATGATAAATTGAGGTTGAGAGAGCTAATTGCAAGGAAAATTGTCCCTGGATATTATATGCTACCAAGGAGCATAAGAAGACAACTTGGGTGATCAAATCATATGTGGTCGAGCATACATGCCCCATGGTGTAAAAGAATTTTCGAGTAAGTTCTACTTATTTGGCAGATAGATACTTGCATGAGTGGAGGTCCGAACCAAAAATGTCGGTGAGTACATTCATGGAGAGGGTTAAAAGGGATGGTTTGGGTGATATATCACATTGGCAAATGTATAGAACGAAGGAGAAAGCACTGGAGAAGATTAGGGGGACTGTGGTGGACCATTACAAAATAATGTGGGATTACTGTGAGGAGTTGAAGTGGACTAATAGTGGGACCACAGCTTTTGTTGAGGGTTATGCCGAGGAATTCCGATGACTGTATATTTGCCTTGGAGCGTTAAAGGAGGGTTTCCTTAGGGGGTGTAGAAGGGTGATTGGCTTGGACGGTTGCTTTCTGAAGACGGAGCATGGTAGGCAGTTGTTATCTGCAGTTGGGGTAGATGCTAACAATGGTATGTATCCAGTAGCGTATACAGTTGTTAAGGTGGAGAACGGAGACAATTGGAAATGGTTTTTAGAGTTGCTGAGGGATGATTTGCATATACACACTAGGATGCACTGGACATTCATTTCAGATAAGCAGAAGGGGTTGGTTAATGCGATTGAGTCTTTGTTTGAGGACGCGGAGCACAGAACATGTGTTAGACATTTGTACAATAATTTCAGTGCGACGCATAAGGGATTTGCTTTAAAGAATTGCCTTGGGGATGCAGCCAGAGCCACTACTGTTCCACAGTGGCTTCAACATATGCAAAAGATGTTGGACCTGGACCAGGCTGCATATGGGTGGCTTGAACCAAAATCAGCATCCCATTGGAGCAAATCCCACTTCAGAGAGTGGACTTAGTGTGACATGCTTCTGAACAATTTGTGTAAATCATTCAACAGCACAATTGTCAATGCAAGAGAGAAGCCCATTCTAACGATGCTTGAGGAGATTAGGGTATACTTGATGAAGAGAATTGTAGCCTGTAGAGATTCAGCTGATAGATGGACATCAGCAGTAGGCCCTAGAATTCAAAAGATTCTCGAAAAGAACAGAAATCTGTCGAGGTTTGAGTGGTCCGAATATGCGGGGAATGAGAAATTCCAAGTTCGGCACAATGCAGGCATTGTACTACATGCTGTTGACTTGAGGGCAAGGACTTGTACATGTCGTGGGTGGCAATTATCGGGAATACCTTGTTGCCATGTGATTGTCTCGTTGGTATCAAGAGGCCTTAATGTTGTTGATTATGTATACGCTATCTACAAAAAGGACTGTTACTTGATCACGTATACGCTTCAATTTCCCCTATCACAGGACCAGACTCATGGCTTAGTACAGGTCTCAACTCACTCAGACCACCTGTGTACACCAAAAAGCCCGGGAGGCCAAAAAAGAATAGAAGAAAAGAGCCAAATGAGGTAGAGTCTTCTAGCCTGGCAAAGAAGTCCAGAAAGTCCGCGTAAAATGAAACCCCTTCTGAGACAACTTCAGCAGGTATATCTGGTGCAAAGAAGCGAGCTGGCCAAATTCAGACATGTCGAAAATGTGGTGAACCAGGGCACAACAGGAGGAGCTGCAAAGGGGCACCACCACCAGCAAGCAACTAGGGACCAGCAGGCATTTTTTGTGGTTTCTGTTGAAGCATCTGTGTTGAACTGTAACTTTCTTTTGTTTATGTATGAATGCTATGTCAATGGAGATCTCTGTTAAGCCTTTTATTGTGCTGTTAAGCCTTTTTTTGTTCAGATTATTCTGAACTTTTTTTTTTATTTGAAGTTTGATGAATACAGGATTTTCGAAAGGCTTGATTTTCGAAAATGCACCGCCACGCTGATGATGAACAGTAGAATTTAGCACTGTGGATATCATTTTTTTTTTGAATACCCTATTTACTTATGGCGGGAAGAAAAGTATCTTGGAGTGTGACAATTTTACCCTTCAACCTTGAAATTAAAAGCGAGCCAGTTGTGCATTTCACGGTCAAATTCACGGCAGATGGACGGAAGGACATTTTGCACAAGGAAACGTTGAAATAAGGGTGAAAATGCAAAAAAATGGAACGTATGGACGTTTTCCACAATATGTGTTAAACATAGAGACGTTTTGCGCTATTAAGCCTTTTTAAGTATTACCTACCTATACATAACCCAATTCTATATATTTATAAATAAGGATTATTGGCACAAAACGTCCCTACGTTTAACAGTTATTGCGTAAAACGTCCTTACATTTCATTTTTTTGCATTTTCGCCCTTATTTCAACGTTTCATTGCGGAAAACATCGTTTTCACTGTTTTCAATGTAAAATGACCAATATACGCTCATATTTTAATAAAACAAAAAAAGGAAAATAAAAATAAAAAATAAATTGCATTTATACTCCCAAACTTTTTAAAAAGTGCAAATGAGTCCAAAAGTTTTATTAAAAGGCCTAAGCACAAAACGTCCCTACGTTTAACACTTATTGCGAAAAACGTCCTTACGTTCAAACTTTTTGTACTTGGCTCAATAGCATAAAACGTCCCTACATTTGACACTTATTTTGTAAAACGTCCTTACGTTTCATTTTTTTTTACGTTTTCGTCCTTATTTCAACGTTTCATTGCGGAAAACGTCATTTTCACTATTTTTCAATGTAAAATGACAAATATAC